GCAGTCACGCCGCTGGGGCTGCTCCATATGAGACCGCTGCAGCACTGGCTCCATGGCCAAGTCCCGAGGTGGGCGTGGGAACGCGGCACCTTCCGGGTCCAAGTTACACCGGCCTGCCGCCAAACTTTCAACCCGTGGTCAGACCTTGCGTCCTCCAGGCATGAATGCCCCTGAAGCAGGTCTCCAGGCATTCTGTGGTTTGCACGGATGCCTCAACCACCGGCTGGGGGGCCACGTACAATGGGCTTGCAGTGTCAGGGGTTTGGACGGGGCCCCAACTGGGCACCTTGAGGCAGCCAGTGCACCTTGCCCGGGGCCGTCTCAAAGGGCGCTTACGAGGCAAGCGTGTACTAGTCCGCACATACAACACAGCGACCATTGCGTACATCAACCTACTGGGTGGTCTGCGCTCCCGTCGCTTATCGCAACTCGCCCGCCACCTCCTCCTCTGAAGTCAGAAGCATCTGAGGTCGCTTCGTGCCATTCAAATTCCGGGTCTGCTCAACCATGCAGCTGACGAGCTGTCACGAGCTGTGCTCCCCGGAGAGTGGAGACTCCATCCCCAGTCAGTCCAGCCTCTCACTGCCAGTTGTTTTACTCCCTGACTAAGGGAACACTCAGCACAGACCTGGTTCCCAGAACTAATGCTCCTCGCGACAGCCCCTCCTTGGCCGATTCCTTTGAGGAAGGATTTACTGACTCAGAGATGGGGCACCCTTTGGCACCCGCGTCCAGACTGGAAACTTCATGTCTGGAAAGTCCCTGGACGGGACGCAGAGGTTCTGAGTGGCCTACCCCAAGAGGTAGTTAACACCATCACTTCAGCGAGAGCCTACGCTTGAAGTGGAACCTGTTCGTTGAGTGGAGTTCTTCTCGCGGAGAAGACCCCCGAAGATGCCCGATCGGAGTTGTGCTGTCCTTTCTGCAGCAAGGGTTGGAGTGAAGGCTGTCTCCCTCCACCCTTAAAATTTATGTCGCTGCAATCGCTGCTAACCACGACCCCGTAGAAGGAGGTCGTTGGGGAAGCATGACCTGGTAGTCAGGTTCCTTAAGGGGGCGAGAATGTTAAATCCTCCACAGCCACCCTCTATTCCCTCGTGGGACCTGACTCTGGTGCTCACGGCACTACAGCAGGGCCCATTTGAGCCTTTTTGCAGGCGGTTGAGCCGAAGTTCCTTCAATGG